CCTCCCACTTTCCCAGCACTTTTCAGAGGGTGGAATAAGAAGTATTTGAGTTACTCTTGCCCACTCAGCCAGGAACTGAAGATAAAGATCGGAATCAGAATTAGCAGTGTTTAGGTTGTGGCCTGTTTCAGGAGCTGAGTCTAACTTCCTCTTATCTCCTGTTCTGAGTTCAAAGTTTGAAAGGTGCTTCCGGAAGACTGGACCTGGCCACCAGGTGGCCCAGGCTGTCCCTGAGTGTCTTTGGTGACAAGGAACTCACCACCTTCTGGGAAGCCCCTTCTGTCTTGGACAACTCAGATCATGAAAGAGCCCTTCTGAAACCGAGCTGAGATCTCTCTACCTGTCGTTCCTTTTATAGTTCAGGGCAGGGGGAGGAACTTGCTCCTCTTTCAACAGACAGCTCTTCAGATTCTTAGTGGTAGTTTGCAGGTCCCCACAAGGAGATTTCTCTCCTCCAGGCTATAACCTCAGGTCCTTCCGTGCTACCCAGGATGTGTATCAATCTCCCCACCAGCCCCTGGCATCCCTTTGAAGATCCCCCTGTGTCTTGGAGCTTATGAACTAAAGAGCACAGTCATCGAGCATGAGCAGAGCATGGTCACTGACATTGCAGGGGACTGGCACCACAACAGGTGGCAATGAGCATTGTGGAATAAAGGAGAAAAGGGGAGGAGACAGGACAGAAAGGAGGAGAGAAGGAGAGGGAAGAAGGAGGCAGGAGAAGGAAGGTGGGCAGGGGATTTTCATTCACCGCCTGCTGGTGAGTTCTAGCAGAGCAGCTGCTGCATGGCTCCCTGCCTGCCTGGGCTGGGCTGGCCATCCTGGGTCCTGACCCCAACTTCCCTTCATTCCCCGACCCCTGGCACTTTTATTCGGGAAGCAAGTTCTCAGGTGTCCTCAGCACCCCTGCCCATGCACCCAGGGAGCTGAGCCCTGGAGAGAGAATGGCACACAGACGTGGATAAGTCACTGGCCCTACTCTGCCCAGCTGGGGCCTGGGGAGTGGTCCCCAAAAGCTGCTGGCTCAAGGCAGGCAATAGCTGCTCTGACTCYACTGGTAGGATACACTTCAGAACTTATCCCCCAAATGTACACACCACATTCCAGGGAGGAGGGAACTTAAAAACAGGAAGATGGGTGAGCAGGAAGATCTAACTACCAGGACACTGGCACATTCATCATCTCATTCAGTCTCACTGGGACCTTTATTTTGCCCATTTTGCATATGTACAAACTGAGGATCCGAGAGGCTTGCCCGAGGCCAACCTCAGCATCTTGCAAGGAGTTACCTACAGTTACACACAGAGACCATAGCTTCAAGGGGCAAAACCCAGTCTCTATCTCACTTAATGCTCTCCTCCCATCCCCATTCCTAGGAGACAGATGCCATTTTTGCTACATAGAGATAGAAACTGAGGACCAGAGAATGAAGCAAGTGGCCCAAGGTCACGTAGCTAGGAAGCGAGACTCAGAATTAAAATACTGTTTGCTCAGACTGTAATACCAATACTGCCGCCACTCAATTTACATGGGAGTTTCCTCCTGTACAAATAAAATGCTCCATTTAGATAATTATACAAATAATCTGTATGAAAAGCCTATTCTGTTCTGTTCTTCTGTGAACTCCTTAGTCTGTAGATCTCTGAAAAACAAAGATTTCACAGACACCCAATGGAAGYAGTGAAAACATCTCTCATTGTCTTTTCTGTGACTGTTGCTGAGTGGAAAACTGATGTGGCCACAAAGATTGGCCCTAAGCACAGGATCCATAGGAAAGGACAAGTACATTATTAAAAATAAATAAAAGGCATTGTAAGCAGAATGCAAAATTAGGTGTTCACTGTGATTGCCACTGAGCATGAAATGCATATGCATATAGACAAAGCTGGAAGGGAAATGCAAAAATTAAATCAGTTCTAGGGCAAAGGGATGGTCTGTCTTTCTTAAGAATGTTACTTGATGCTGTTATTACATTTGTGCAATAACAAAAAGACTTTKCTGTAATCTGTAGATCTTCATCATCCGAAATACAGATGATCTCTATGCAGTRGTATAAACCTAAGATGCAGTTTCTTGAGTCCCTGGAGTATTGCTGCTTGGTTGACCATGTTTGACCTTGAGCAGTCTTGGTAATGGTCACCATAGAGATAGACAGGAAGAGAGAGAGGAGGGAGCAGTTCTTCCACCCTGTGGTTTTGCTGATTGCTAGTTACTGTAACATTTTGAATGTAGAGTGTTCACAACATCTCTGTTTTTTGTAGAGTCTTGTCCACAAGTCAGATCAAGTAACTTTTACTGAGTTCACTGGGTACCTACTATGTGCTGGGCGAGAGAGAGAGAGAGAGAGAGAGAGAGAGAGAGAGAGGAGAAGAAGAAGGAGAAGGAGAAGGAGAAAAGAGAAGAGAAGAGAAAGAAGGAAAGAAAGAAAGAAAGAAAGAAGGAAAGAAAGAAAGAAAGAAAGAAAGAAAGAAAGAAAGAAAGAAAGAAAGAAAGAAAGAAAGAAAGAAAGAAAGAAAGAAAGAAAGACAGGCTCCTGCCCCATGCCAGCCCATGGAGGCTCAGTTGTTGAGCCTATGGAGCATTGTGTCCTCAAACACTTCTTCCTAGCCTGTCCCTCCTCACCCTCCAAGGGGCCCTCCTTCTGCATCTCTTCCACTGTGTCCAGACAATACCAGGCACCYGGCAGGCACTCAGTGTACATTTATTAAACAAATCTCACCCCTACCTCGCAGCTAACTCTGCTGCTGGGCTGCACCACCTTGAGCACATCTCCTGCCTCCCCCTGACTCCAACTCAATTCTCTTGRCTAAGAGGCTGCAGAGAGCAAGCTTGGGTCTGATCTTTGTAACACTGTCTGGCACGTGAAGAGCTGTTCATGGGGCTCCATCAGGGCCTGTTGAGTCGAATCAACGTCACTCATCCTTCCAAGAGAAACCCTGGCAGCTCTCACAGGTCATAMGGGGAGCTGTTAGAGAAGCCAAGGCAGGGCCTACACCTGGAATCCCATCACCTTCCTTCACCTGACCATTGCTTAGTGGACCAGAGGGACAGAAGAGGCTGAGTCAGGAACCCAAAGAGAGCCACCCTCTCAGGACGTGCCAGGAGTCAGTAAGCCTTGTTTAGAGACAGATGTTGATTGATTTGCCTTCTCTCATCTCTTCCCCCACCCCAAGATAAACAGAAAGCTAAAACTCCAACTACTGCAAAACTCAGAAGCAGAGCCCAGAATGTATCTCCTAAGTCCTTTCCAAGTCTTGCTGGGTGATTGGCCAGGCCCCTCCCCCCACCTCCCTTTGCCATCACCACACAGGGCTTTGTGTGAAGGGYGACATGAGCATTTTATTCCACCCCTGAACTGCATCGTCAGCTTCTGGAGGACAGGCCCTTTACTTCCCTCGATCYTGGCTGGCGTGGGGCCCAGCACTGGCCACCTCTGAGCACTTGGCTCTCRGTGTCTGCTGATTGTGCTGAGCATCCCTGAGGAACTCAGCACTCGATGTCCGAATGGGCCATGGGCAGGTGGGCCGGTGGGTAGTGAGGCAGAGATCAGAAAACAGATGTACAAATTGGATAACTGGAGGAGAACTTAACCAAGAACTATTTACCAAGTAGAGGGTAAGGACTTAGGAAATCCAACAAGAAACCACTGCAGTGCAAGAGATAAGGAGCATTTACCACCTCTAGTCCAGGAGGGGCAAAGGGAGAAAATGATTCCCTGAACCCAGAGAAAGGAGCTGACCCATGAGGAAGCTCTGGCTTTGGGTACAGGGAAGCAGCTAAGTGGAGCAGCAGGCAGAGGCCTGGCCTCCRCTCCCCCTGCCTTCCCTCTCCCGATGGGGCCTCCCCCTGGCACAGCCCAATGGGAAACTGAGGTCAGAGGAACTGTGACACAGTTCACAGGGGTCAGCCTCCCTGGGCACAGGGCAGGGTGCAGAAGGTGGGGGATGGCCCTAGAGGGGCCCRGCACCTGTCCTCTGGTAGAGATGAAGGAAAAAGAAATCTTGGTCTAGGACTCAGAAACCCCAAGTTCCACCCCAGGCTGGCCCCTGACTGGTGGCAAGATGGTATGATGCCKGTAAGCAAGTCACTTGTCTGCTCTGAACCTCGGTTTTTCCACTTATAAAGTGATTGAGTTGGACCAGTGATAAAGAAGCTCCTTCCAGACCTGATGCCTTATCACCTGAGACCACAAAAAGTAAAAAGCAAAGCCACGTTTTCCATTGACCTCTGGGAAATGCAAATCAAAACCACAACAAGGGGCTGAGGCTGCAGCTCAGTGACAGAGCACTTGCCTAGCATGTATGAGGTACTGGGTTCGATCCTTAGCACCACATTTAAAAAAAAAAAAGCAAATAAAGGCATTCTCTCCATCTACAAAAATAGTAAAACACACACACACACACACACACACACAAGACACCACTGACAGCCCCACCCCCTGCAGGACACATCAAAAGGCAGCCACACATCAGACAGATAGATAATAATAAGTGCTAATGAGAATGGGGAGAAAGTGGAGTCCGTTTTCACGGCTGGTGGGTGTGTAAAATGGGGCCGGCCAGCATGGAAACCAGTGTGCAGTTCCTCAAAGCTGAGTGTGGTTTCCATCCATCCCTGTAATTCTACCCCCCAGAAAATCTAAGGGAAATGGAAGCACATGCACACATGAAAACACAAATGCTCAAAGCAGAATTGTTCATAATTCATTGTGGATAAACAAGAMGTGGGGTAGCTACACAATGGAATATTATTACCCAGTCAAAACAAACAAAGTGCAATATGTGGATAAGACTTGGAGACATTATGCTCAGTGAAAGAAGCCATTTGCAAAAGGCCGCATGTTGTATAATTCCATTTGTATGAATAGGCAAATCCATAGAGGAAAAAAAAGAGAGAGAGAGAGAGAGAGAGAGAGAGAGGTTAGAAGTTTCCAGGAGCTGAGGGGAGTGACTGCTAGAGGTACAGGGTCTCTTCTTGGGGATATAAAAATGTTCTAGAATACTTGCTTCAATAGCACATACTAAAATTGGAACTATACAGAGAAGATTAGCATGACCCCTGTGCAAGGATGACACACAAATTTGTAAAGCATTCTGTATTTTTTTWAAAAAGTTCTAGAATTGATTGCAATGGTAGTCACATAGTTTTGTGAATATGCTACAAAGCATTGACTGAAATACTTTTATTGAAATACACTGGCTGTATTTCAATAAAGCTGTTATTTAAAAATAAGATATCAAGGCAGGTACAGTGGCACACATCTATAATCCCAGCAACTCAGGAGGCTGAGGCAGGAGGATTACAAATTCAAGGCCACCTGGGTGACTTAGCAAGACCGGTCTCAAAATCAAAAATAAAAAGGGCTAGGGATGTAGCTCAATGGTAAAGCACTGGTTCAATCTTCAGAACCAAAAAAAATTAAAAATTTGAATACACGCATGAATACATTCCTAAACTAGTAGGAAAAAGTCAAGGTCCAGTGTGACTCTAGAATGAGCATCTTCAGGGGCAGCAGAGCTACAGCTGGTGGGAGGGAGCTGGACGGGGTGTCGAGGCTGCCTGCCTTCTCCCTGCAGCAACGTCTTCCTCCAGGTCCCTCACTTTCCACCTTAGGAAGAATTCGCTGCAGGAACACTGAGAAGGGAGCTAAAGGCCAAAGAATGCTGCTCTGGCCTCTTCTGTAGGCCTGTGRCCAGCTTGGGCACAGGAGAGTCCCTGCTCTTCTTCCGCATGGYTCTGCTGCCTGAGACTTCTAATCCACCTCAGTACTGGATCCCAGAGGGTCTTGGAGCCCACCCCCTGGCATGCACAGACACACACACACACACACTCGTGTGCACACACCCACAGTCTCCACTTACTGACCCACCACAAGCTTGAGGTAGGTACTCTTAGGCACCCTCATCTTCAGACTAGGAGAAACTGAGGCACAGAGAAGTTAAGAAATTTCCCCAAAATGACATGACCCATATCTAGAGCCATGGTCCATGCCCTTGATTGCTTTGTTATACTGGGATACACATATAATATGTATGTTCATATATGTCTGAACTAGCAAATTCTATATAAACATGTACTTATCAACCCCTGAATAAATAAATATTTGCTTAATAAATGAAATGCACAAATAGAAACTAAGAAAACTGAAAATCTAATCTTAAAAGAGTTCCAGAGCTGGAGAGATGAAACCCTCCAGATTCTGTACCCAACACCAGCTCTTAGTGAGATGGATATGGTATCCCTGAAGCGTGTGGTCAAAAGGCCTCCGGTCTGCCCAGGATGGAGGGAACATCCACATGTATCAAAAGGCTCTTTCAGCCCACGGAGTTCTGCAGGRGCCTCTTCTGGGTGTGACTTCACATAGAAGAAATACTGAGAACCAAAGGCCCAAATGGACTCTAATCCCACTTCCTGCTCTGAGCACCTGGGATTTTTTTTTTTTTAAATCAGGGTCTTTTCTTCTCAAGACCCTCTTTTTTTCTCTTTTCCATTTGTTTTAATTGGCATATTTTTAACTGGTGTATTATATACATAGTAATGAGATTCAGTGGGCCATATTTGTATGTGCACATAATGTAATTTGATCACTCCTCCCCCATAGCTCCCCCTTTCCTTCTCTCCTCCCTCCCTCATCCACTGTTTGACTCTACTGATCTCCTCCTATTACTGTTGTTTTAGTTAGTGCCTGATAATCATACACACATGAGAGATTCACATGGTGTAATCATACATAGGCACAACATATCTTGGTAGATTTCATTCCCCAGTACTTCCCCATGCCCCCTCCTCATCCTTCCCTCTTGATCTCCTTCCTCCACGCTATTGATCTTCTGTTTTTACGAAATCAACCCCCTTTTTTTTAAAAAAAAAATTCCTTTACATATAGTGTCTCTCTCTCTCTCTCTTTCTCTCTCTCCCTCTCTCTCTTCTTCATATGAAAGAAACCATCCTACCCCTGACCTTCTGAGTCTGGCTTGTTTCACTTAGCTAACATTCTCCACTTCCATCCTTTACCCACCAATGACATAATTTCATTCTTCTTTATGTCTGAGTAAAACTCTGTTGTATATAAATACCACATTTTCTTTATCTGTTCATCTGACGATGGGCCCCTAGGCTAGTTCCAAAACTTGGCTATGGTGAATTGCGTTGCTATAAACATTGATGTGGCTGTATCACTATAGTATGCTGATTTTAGATCTTTGGGATAAATACCAAGTACTGGGATGGCTGGGTCACCTGGTAGTTCTATGCTAGCCTTTTAAGGAATCTCCATACTGCTTTCTAAAGTAGTTGTCCTAATTTACAAGCAATGTACAAGTGTGAGCACCTGTAATTTTATTTGACCTTCATCCATCCTTCACTGAAGTCAGTATCAAAAGTGGATAGTCACTGCCCCCTGGCCTTTTGCCTCAAATTTACCTCATCAAATACTGACACATCAACCTCAGTTCCTGAAAAAACTTCACCTCCAAGATACATGCAAAGGAGCAGTATTTTCCAAGTGTATGTGAAAAAGAAGGTGCCTAGCATTGGAGGAGACAGAAGAATAATCAGGATATCCAGAGAGAACTTGCTGCTGCTCAGCCCTAGGGGAGTAGGATGGGAGAGCTGGGCCTGGGGGAGCAATTGCTAATATTTATCTTGTGTTTGCCAGGTTCCAGGACAATGCTAAACACCTCAGAGGTGTTAGCTTATTTTATCTTGGCTGGAGCCCTGGGAGGCAAGTCTAGTTTCCTGCCGAGTACATTTAGGTGTGGAAGGAGTGGAAGGAATAGCTGTCGAAGTCACCCAGGGATGTGAATGCAGTTAGTGGCAGAGCCAGGAATAGAAGCTCCTGTCAGCACAATGCACACCCCATTGCAACCTACCCCCAACCCCAGTTACCTCCAAAGGGCCCAGACTACACCAGCAGCAGCTGCCATCTGCAGCATCTGCCTGGCTTTCATACTCTGCTGTCCCTTGACTATGGAGGGGTGGGAGGACAGCTTCCTGGCCAGGTTTTTTTTTTTTTTTTTGGAGAGTGAGAGAGAGAGAGAGGGAGAGAAGAGAGAGAATTTTTTAATATTTATTTTTTTAGTTATCGGCGGACACAACATCTTTGTTTGTATGTAGTGCTGAGGATCGAACCCAGGCCGCACGCATGCCAGGTGAGCGCGCTACCGCTTGAGCCACATCCCCAGCCCCCTGGCCAGGTTTTGACAAAGCTGTGCATATCTCCAGTGTCTGTTGTCCAAAGAAATCTGGAAATCTAGAATGCATGTTCCATTTGCTGCACATCTCAGGTGTTCAGGAGCCACTTGTAGTTAATGGCTACCATATTAGATGGTTCAATCCTGCACTCATTGCAAAAACAAAGGCTTAGAAGAGGCAGGTAACCTCCTCAAGATCCTATAAGTAGTAAAGGGGATAGTTGAGATGTGAATTTTGTCAGTCTGACATCAAGCCTAGGTATTACCCACTAACTACACAACTAGGGCCCCAGCACGCACGTCTGAGTCCTATTCCAAGCAGAAGGGCAGAGGGGCTGCCTCCTGACTTCCAGCTCGGGCTCCCAGATATAAAGGTGGTGTCCTGGAGTGGTGTGGGAGGGAAGAGGCAGGAAGATACCATCACAGTAGCTGCAAACCTAGGGGCCAATCCCAGGGGGTAGGGGGGTAGGGGAGGCCTTCTCATGGTCTCTGCCCAGACACAAGTCTCTTCTGCCCCTCACTTCTGTCTCTGCAAACCCCACCTAGTCACTTTCCAGGAACGCCAGGAGCACAGTAATTCTGGTCTCCCAATATTTGCTGTCTCTGCAAACCAATAAGTCTGCAGCCTGCAAAGAATGCTGATGGAATCAATGGCATCATAAGGTGACTTTGAAAAAGAACAGGGGAGGGGGTGGGGGCTGAAACAATTCACTCAATGACAGTTAACATCAGTGAGAGAACCCAGAAAGGGATCAATACCTGCAGGTGGATTGTTTGCAAACTGGGACACTATTGAGCAAGTGCCAGGCCAACCTCAAGGGTGGGTTTCCACAGGAAGGATGACTGGGTGCTTACCAGCACTTTTTTTTCAAACTGAGAATTCTGCTTATGCCTGTGCAATGGAAGCCTGATCAACAAGTCATGGATTCCATTAGTTTTCCGAATATCACGAGAAATTCTGGAATCTTTGTGCTGAGTATCATTTCATGGCCCACCTTGGCTCTCTATACGTTTGAAACAGCCTCTGCTCCAGTGGGCTTGCTTGCACACAGTGTGAGAACTGGGATGGACTGGAGATTTGGAGATCTCGTTTCAAGTCTTGGTTCTGCTGCAAACTAACCAGAGGCTCTCAGATAACCCTTTGGACTCATCTGAGTTTCAGTTTCCTCTTTAATGGGTCCAGACATGGTGTCCTGGTGTTTGACACGTGCCCATTAGTTAGTAACAGACACAAATAAGGATTGCTGGGAAGACAAGAAGAAAAGTGTTTCGCATATAGGAGCTCAATAAATGTGAATTGAATGAATATAACAAGTAAGTTCTAGCTTTCTAGAATTTGCCTGTTTTCCATCTTTTCATAGTCTCACTCCTGCCTTCTACCTCAGCCTTCTCCCTGCCTCATACCTGAAGCTCCCAGGATTGTCATCCTTCCCCATGACTCTCTGTGTTTGCATGAGTGGTTCCCTCCCACCTGCACTGGCTGGCCTAACACGTTCATCCTTGAAAGCCCAAGTTAGGTGCCATTTCCTCGGGCAAGTTCTCCTGACCTCCCTTCCTCTTACCCGTAAGTGTCTATCCAATCCCTTCTTTTAGTGGCTACCTCAGCACCGTAGACCAACTTTTCCTCCTGTATGTGCTGAATTGTACTATGATAGGTTTAATTATGACTCCAGTGACCTAGGAGCTTCCCAAGGGCAGGGGATCCTTGTTCCTCTCTGCGGCCCCAGCCTGGGACAGGGCTCAGGAAAGCGGGTATAGTTCTGACATATCCAGTGGCATCTTCTTTCTCTGAGGAGGTGCTGGACACCATCCCGGGGAGGTTCCCTTCTCTTTCCTTAAACTCTGAGGTTGGTACCCTGAAGGGTCAAGCTCCCTGCATCCGGGTGATTCCCTTCTCAAACTCCCCCTGAC